TGAAAATACGGTAGTCCGAAAATTACGGTACTAATGGACCTGATTGTGTTTCAGATAAAGATCAGGGTACGATAGTTCTTAAGGAACTTTGTAACTGCAGCCACAAACATCCCTCCATTTCTAATGCTCCCATTTATTAAAGTACTCCTTCACCCAAACTTAGGCCCGTTAATGTTTTCTTCTTTAATGTGATTTTTTTACAGCCTTAGCTTCTGTTTGGTACTCACTGCATGTGGCTTAGGATGTCCATGGACCCTCATCAGGTGCGTCGTTAAGTTCTTCTTGTGCATGAACCGTTCATTACAGATTGAACACTTGCAAAGAAAGAAAACCAACATATTCGAAACACTTTTTATTACGTCGTGTAGCTTCACCCGTTACTTTTGGGGGTAAACGCTACCTTGTGGGGCATTTCTGATGTGGTGATGACATGCTCCCGCAGCTCTTCCTTCGTGTTGAAGGTCAAGGAGCATGTAGAGCAGGAGTACGTCTGAAAACCCAGAACAGAGCGTCACAATCAGCAACACTAGGAAAACCAGCAGAGCTCTGAGGAGATTCTCTCTGCTCACTCACCAGCATCCTGGAGCAGCCCCTGCTCTCGTGCACGGACAGACTCTCTTTCCTGAAGTACATCTTCCCACATTTAGAACAACCAAAGGGTTTCTCTCCAGTATGCCTCCTGCGGGAAAAGAAATGTAACCGGATATTTTCTTTATAGAACTCCCCGGAAAAAAAATAAACCAAACTCTATACCTGTTGTGGACTTTAAGGTAATATTTGCTTTTGAAGAACTTGAGGCAGACGGGGCACTGTGCTGAGCCTTTATTACTGCCGCCCGCCTCCACGTCATCTTTATTCTTGCAGTTAGGAGTTTTGCTTTGTGCCGTTGATGCAGGCGGCGCGGTAGAACTGGACTCAGCGGGGGGTAAATACTCCTCATCTGTGTCATCCCCAAAACCTTCGGGTTCATCATCTCCTTCCTCCACCTCTACCGTAGTTTTTCCTGTTGCCTGGCTCTCACTGCAGTCGTTTGTATCACACTTCAGCTCTGTCACCTGCCAACACAAAACAGACGCAGTAAAACTGTAAGCTTTGTCTGTTTAGGGTGTGCATATTATGCTATTCTCAGGTCTTAACAAGTAACTTATTAACCTGACTCCGCCAGAGGGATTTGCTCCGCA